ACTAGCAATGGTGAAGGGCAGGAAAAGAGCTTTAATTGGAATGGCTGCATTAGGAAGGAGAGATTAAAAAGCTTCAAGATCTGTCTTTGAAGAGGTTTCATAGAAAAGGGAAACAAAGGCAAGGGTCAGCGGTTTGCATAGCTGGAAGTAGTCTACATTGTGGGAGTGGGGTTTGCATAGCTGGCAGAGTAAGTACTCATCCTACTCAAGCTGTGGTTTTAGTTACCTCAGCACTAGTACTGCAAGGTTGATTCAGAGATGTTCTTAAGTCTTGGGATCATCTGGTTCCTATGAAATGATTGCTTCTGTTTAGTGGGAGTGACCTCATCATGAAATGATCTCTCTATAGAGATCTGAAATGGATTCAGCTCTGCTGAAATCCAAGGTATCATTATCTGCACAATGACAAGAGATTTCTAGTTGCTGCTTCATGGGGGTCTACAACAGAACTTTGTAAAAGGTGGCAATTTAATGTTACTGCAAATCTTAAAAATCCCTTATTTCATGTTAGTGTCCTCAGTCTTGAAATATGGCAAGTTAGGTAAATTTAGGATTAATAAACCTTGTATTATCAGTTCTCAGATACATTTTTTAGGCTGTTGACATGCCTTTATGCACAGCTGAATAGGAGTCTGACCTGAAGTCTTAAGGCAATAAAGGAGACATATATAATGAAGGCAGAGATGCTAGGCTTTATTCTGATTTCTCTCACTTATTGGGCATCTGCAGGCCCAGCTTCTAGGACCCTGTGATAAAAGATTGTAGAATGCATGTACTATAATAAACATGCACTATGAAATAATTGTATTAGTTAGCTTTCCCATTGGTAGACAGATTATCCAACCACCACAACTTAAAGGAGGTGAAGTTTAATTGACTCACAGTCTCAGAGGTTTTCATCCATGATCAACTGGTTTCAAGGTGGGAATATCATGACAGAAGGGCACAGTGGAATAAAACTGCTCAGTGCATGTAGGCTAGAAACAGAGCAGGGGAACAGTGCCAAAGAACAAGGTCAAGGGATCAGATCTAGTGCACAAAGTCATGCCTCTGTGTCCTACCCAGACACATCCAGAAGTGCATTTCACTGATGCTCTAGATAATAGTGGTGAACCTGTGGTACATGTTATTTTTCTTTCAAGACAAAAGATGTTAATTTATGAGTTGTTTTTTCTAAACTACAACCCCAGTATTCAGATTTAACTGTAGTATTGGCACTTTGCTATAAATAGCATATTTTGAGTTGCAGTTTGAACACGTGTCTCTAAAAGGTTTGCCACCACTGCTCTAGGCAGTTCCCAAGCCAGTCAAGTGGATACAATGATGCTTAACCCTCCCAAAGTACCACTAAGGGAAAGTTGCTTGGTATGCCAATGAGCAATACTTCTCCCACTTCTCACAGCAGTACTTTCATTCATCTATCCAACAAATATTTGTAGAGCTCTATGGGCCAGGACTTGTGCTAGACACTGCTTATACATAGGTGAATAAACAGACATATTTCCTGTCTCTGAAGACTTTCCAGTGATAGCTATTCATGCTCACAGCAGTTTGATGTCAGTCCTAAATGATCTTTGAGGCTGTACTAGCCAATGGGCCACTCATTTCAGCTACCCCTCTGTCTTGTCTGTGTAAGAGTGAGGTATGTCCATAAGAAGAGTGGGGACATGTGAGAGGTCCCAGGAAAGGGCTGCTGCTTGGCCAGGGTGGTCACAAAATGCTTCTCTAAGAAGGTTACATTCAAACATAGGCTTGCAGAATGAGGAACCATGCTATGAATGGAGGGAGACCATTCAAGACAAAAGAGTATCATGGATAAAAGAGCTGAGTCAAGCTATATAAAGTGATGTTTGAGGAAGTGAAAGAGTGTCTATATGGCTGGAATATAATGGGAAGAGGAATATTCACAGATTTAGAGCATAAAACATATTAAATTACTGAAAGTATATATTGAGTTTTAGAGTTTTTTTTCCTTAAGGCAGTAGAAAGCCTTTAAATAATTTTAAACAGCAGAGTGATTTAATCTGATTTCTGCTTTTAAAGAGTTTTACTGTGTATATGCAGTGCTTCAATTTTTGAAAAGGGCGGAAGACATTTTAAGGAATAAAGATGACTCTGGCTCCTTGTAGAACATTAGAAGCAAAAGAGGAAGCAGATTTACCAAGGTGGGAGGTATATCTGTAGATTTTTTTAAAATAAGAAATAATGATGTCCCCCAAAAAGAGTAAAATTGGAGAGAAGAGGACATATTTAGGAGGCAAAAATGATAAGGTATAAGTGGAGAATGAAGAATAAAGAAAAATGAAGACTACCTCCGAATTTCCAGGCTTGAACAATGGGGTAAGTGGACTATCATTTACTGATTCTAGAAAGATTTCAGAAGACATAGCTGAGAGGAACCAAGAGTTTGATTTCAGATTCCTTTCTTTTGAGATTTCCAAATAGAGACACCATGTATCAGGTGGATACATAAAATTAGAACAAAGAGCGATAATAGATTTAAATCTGTATCCCAGTTCAGGGGTGGGTCACATATGTAATCCCAGAATTCTAGGTGACAGAGATAATAGAATTGCAAATTTAAACCTGGAATTCAGTGACTTGGTGAGACTGTCTCAAAATAAAAACATTTTTAAAAAAGACTGAGGGACTGGGGAGATGGCTCAGTGGAATAAGTGCTTCCCTGGCAAGCGCAAGGGCCTGAGTTCAATCCCCGGTTCCGCAAAAAAATAAAAAAAATTAAAAAAGACTGAGAAAGTAGTTTACTGCAAAGGACCTGGGTTTAGTTCCTGGTTCAATCAATCAAGCAATCAAATCTATACTCCACCAACATATTTAGATGGCATATGTATTCACAAACTTGCCTTAGGTTACAAAAGGAGAGAGTAGAGACAGTGTAGAGAAGAGACTGTAAGGGCCAAACTCCACAAAGGTCTAACATTTTGGTGTTGAAGGTCCAGCAAGAAGACTGATGAAAAATAGGGAAAAAGGTCAGGAGAATGATTTGACTTAGAGGCAAGAACAAGAAGATGTCTCCCTCAAATATGAACAATTATTGCTGAAAGTGATTAAGCCAAAGCAGATTCTCTCTCTGCCTTCTCTTTCTGTTTTCTTTCTTTCTTCTTTTTTTTGCTCCGAATGCCTTCAGGGCAGGTTTGGCTGGCTGGAGTTGTGGGGATCGAACCACAGCAACCTGAACCTGACTGCTTTGTTGAAGCAGCCACTTAAAGAACTGAGCTAAGAGGCAGGCCCCCTCTTTCTGTTTTCTTAAAAGCAGAGCACTAATTTACAAAGATACAGTAAAAGATACTCCCATCCACCCTGCTCCTTGCACACCTTCTACCAAGGAGAACAGAAGTTAACAATGGGACCAGTGGCCTGTACATTAACAACCTTTACTAACTAGTTGTTATCTGCCATTTATTCACCTTGGCCCAAGTTGCTGCCCCCAGAGGCTCAAGGTTTTTTCCTTTGTCCTACTTGTCACTTCTCTAAAAATTTACTCTTCTTTATTGCAGATGCTGTAAGCTGGAATTCAAAGCCACCTCTTGCAGAACTCCTTATTTCCTGGGTGTCTTTTGTGTATATGAAATATATGTTAATAATTTCTAGTTATTTTCTTGTAAATTTGTCTTTTAGAATAGGGGTTTTGCCTAAGTAAGAACCTATGAGTATTATTCTTCTCCTACATAACAAAGAACTCATAAAAATAATTATTTCAAGAAAGAAATGCCAAATGGATCAATAAGAAGAGTTCTCTTACATAACCACTGGTTTTGGAAGTAATTTAGTGAACTTGATGTGAGCAATGTTCAAAATGTAGGGCTCAGGGACACCAACTGAGAGGAGATTGAGAAATGATAAGAACGAAGGAAATTGAAAGAGCAGATGTGGACAATTCCAAACCGAAACTAAACATAAATAGTTCAGTTGGCAGAACTTTTCATATATCCACCAAAGGAGCAGTGTTAAGATACATAGACACTGCTATGATGTCCAAGGATTGCACTGTCACGGCCTCTGGGATCATTTTGCCCAGATTCGTTACTACTCTTTCTTTCCTCCTTTGAGTTCTCTGCTAGAAGTCATGGAGGTACTTTATGGTTTACCTGCCACCTAGACTTTTGAGGAAATCTTGCATTGAAAAAAGTCCCTGTGATACATAGTTTTTTCCCAACATTTACTGCAAGTTTCACATCTCCTTTGGAATTCTCCTTAAGTGAAAGTAATAATTTTCTTTTCTGAACTCCTACAGTTTGTGTACATTTTTTATTGCATGTACTGAATTGGCTTATAATCATTTGAGGGCCCCAACTAAATGTCTCCAGAAGGGGTTTGGTTTGAAAGTGAGATTGGCTCCAAATACTTCAGTCAAACAAACAGGCCCAATTTACAACAGGAATCCTGCCTTTTATGCTGTATAGAATTTCTGTTATGCTGGGGATACAGCTCAGTGGCTTAAGTGCCTGCTTGGCAAGCACATGGTCCTGAGTTTTAGCCCCAGTCCAAAAAAAAAAAAAAAAGAATTCCTCTATCCCTCACTTTTTCCCTTATTTTTCCTATTTCACTCCATCCCCATCCAAGATTACAATAGAATTAAGATTGAACAAGTCATTCAGCTAGTTTATCTGTGTTACGAACACAATAGGTGTCAAAATACATTTGTAAACAGTTTTCTCTAGTCTGTACACTAAAATCAGAATTTTCTGTTTTAACCTGGTATATGAACTGTCCCATTCCCAGGTAGGAAAATCACAGATATATTATTTAGGAAATGCTTCATAAAGATTAAAAAATAAGTTACTAGGAAACTGTATTTCTAGATATTCTGGTCAGAAAATCTATCCCGCTTATTTCAAACACTGGCATTTTTCCTCAAGTTTGAAGAAATAACTCATGGTTTCTTGGGGAACTGACTTTCTGGGGAACTTCTCCTGTACTCTAGCAGTAAGGGGGCATGTGTTGACTTTGTTACTGATTTGTGATGTCATGTCTTTCAGAACCAGAGGCAGGAGAAGTGTCTCCTCCAGTCGGTGCTGGTGTCAACAGCAACAGCTGGACCTTTAAATACGGACCAGGCAACCCTAAACAGTCCGGTCCCGGTGAGTTGCCAGACAAATTCATTATCCCAGGATCTCCTGCAATCATCTCCATCCGGCAGGAGCCTACTAACAGCCAAATTGACAAAAGTGACTTCATAACCTTCGGCAAAAAGGAAGAGACCAAGAAAAAGAAGAAAAAGAAGAAGGGTAACAAGGCCCAGGAGAAAAAGGAGAAAGGGAACAGCACGACTGACAACAGTGACCAGTGAGGTCATCGAATGGAAACAAGCCACTTAGCCAGTTTTTGTAATAATGGCTAATCTCTCCCATGTAGCACCTCCCTGTTCCTTTCTCCTATTGACATGAGTCCTATTACAGACCTCAGAAATCTGCAGAAAGTTCCCTGTGTCTGTGTAGATCACATTTAACAGATTTTTGTCTTAAAAGCTTTCCTAAGTCTGGTGTTAACTCTTTCTCTCCGCTCTGGCTTGTTTTCAGAACCTAAAAAGCAGACCCAAGTTTCCTTTCTCCTCCGTCGCAAAGGAGAGCCTTCCCAGCCCCGCCAGTGAGAGGTTGGACTCTCTACCCTGTGCTCCGGGGATCCTGTCTTGATGACACTTGCAGGGCAGGCTGAAAGGTTTTGAGATTGGGCAGCTTGGGTGTCTGTGGCTGTTGGGTATGTGTGGCTGCCACCATTATTCAAGTGTCAGATACTGGCTGGAATGGGCCACATTAGACTAGTACACGAGGAAGGTGGAGAAACAGGCAAAGAAACAGAAGGAGTTACCAAGCAGGAGGGGAAATGTGAAAGTAAAAACAACCACACTTTCTAAATCTCACAGTTTAAGAAGTGGTGGCCACCCTCCAGCAAACAAAACTACCCCTACTGACAAGACTTTAGGTGTAAGTCTGTTGGCTGTGGTGTCATTTTGCTTAAAACTTGCATTTGAAGTACAAGCCAACAGTTCAGTGTTTAAGAGAGGGCCAGCCAGGGCAACAGAAGCAGATCTGATGTGTTTCCTGTTTATGTCCTTATGCTCACTTTATTAAAAATTCTTTTGCACACAATGTTTATGAAAAGGCCAGATCCTTTTCCAACAGTACATATGCAAAAGCAAAAGAAAAAAGAAAACCCCAACACCTCACTTTATGCTGTTTGTTGTTTGATAGATTTATTTAAAAAGAAAGTCTATAGCTATAAATCTTTAAGGAAAAATATGATGAATTCCCCTAAAGTCCCCTCAAAAGAGAATCCACTCTACAGCCATTTAAATGATCACTGCTGCTACAGAAGTGCTTTAAGAGAATTGCCTGAAACATCTGTATTATACCAGCCACCTGCCAATCACAGCTTTACTCTTTCAGGTCACTCTGGGGCTGCCTCTTGCATGTATTAATTACTAAATAAAAGGATCTTTCTCTCTCTTTTCTAAGAAAAATGATGTGCACTTTGAATACACAACTTGTCTAACAAACTCTATCAAGACCCAGAAATTGAAGAAAAATATTGTTTTCTCATACACACAGTGAGCAGACTTTTCAGTCCTCTAATTCTGTGACTTGTCTTGGTGTGATAGCCTACACCTTCTCTGGTTTAGTTTTCCTTTTCTATAACACTCTGAATTGCTAATATTACTAACACCTATGATGTTACCTGAAATCAATCTCCCATATGTATGCTGTATGCTATTATAAGACTCCTAAAATATACTTACTCTGTGCTTGTGTATGTGAATGTTAATGCAATTATTACCTAGAGTGAACTTTAAGCTTTATTGTTGAATGTAATTCCATTATATTTCTTTTTGTACACCTGTGAAAAAGTGGAATAGTGTTTTTTTTAAACCATTGTTAATCAGCTTTTGTGTATGAAAGACATAGTAAAATTTCTTTCTTAAATCAAGATACTGGTGATTCAAGGAATTTTATTTATGGTCAGCCAAGAGCTATCTCTTGCCAAGACTCCTGCTGGCAAGGGAATGGATAATGCTGTTTTTTTCTAGTAACAATTCTGGAAGGAATAATGAAGATGTTCCCTGAGGGTACAAGCACAAATTTTACCAATCTGACCTCTTTGAAGTGGCAGAATGCTTTGAAATTGGAATGCCATCTGGAATATCAGCTCATAGAAAATAATAAAATTTATTGTCATCTTAAATAAGATTTTTAGTTTTGTTATGTATAACTTAGAAGTTTGATTATATTATCTATTTAAAAAATATAAAAGGGGTAGGAGTCTGTTGTTTAAAAAGACATTAAATCTCAAAAAAACCTGTCTTGTCTATTTTTAGCTTCATTCTCCCATATTTTGAAGGGTGTGTAACTTCAGCTCTGCAGGATTGCATGGGGTAAAACTTGTTGCCAACACACGTGAACCATTGCTACATTGTAGGTTGTGATCATTTTGCCCCACTGAAGCCCATGTAACTGACCTTACGTGCCTTTTGAACTAGGAGAATCGGGCTAATTTATTAATGATGATAATTATAATGTATCTGTACAGCACTTTTTAAATTTGTGAAGTGCTTTCCAATCCATGTTAGTTACTAGTGATTACAGCTGTAAGGATAAAACGCGTCATGTAGATTCATTTTTAATTGGTGCTATTGGTATTTCCTCTGTTATTGCTAATAAATGGAAATGGTGGTATGAAAGAAATGGTGGTCATTTATAAGAGTAGGAGAAAACAGAACACTGACCTTTTGTTAGCTATTATTGCTGAAGAAAATAGAAGCAATATGAATGTTACCACTCCCTGGTTATTACCCTGCTTTTAATGTTCATCACTAAGGCAAAATACCTATGAATCAATAATCAAAATCCACAATATTACCAGAATAGGTAGCCATGAGGTTGCTGGTACACTATTGTATCTTATCTGATAAGAATAGAAAAAAAAAACTACTTTTTATCACCAAAGCAAATCCAATCATTTTGTTCATTATTTGTTTATCTCTTGCACTAGTCTATATTTGAAAAGTTTAATAATGCTCCAAGAAATCATGTAACTTTTATTGATTTCAGAGTAAATGCCAGATATTCTACTAAATTCAATTCATAGTACATGTTCTTTAACAAACACATTTTATTGTCCCTCTACAGTTAAATTTTCTGAGCATAGGTTTTAGGTGCAATGCTACTGAACTTGGAACAAGCCCCAACCCACTTCAATCCCTGTCCAGAGATATTTTGGTTTTTATTATTTGAAGTAGGAGGTGTTTTGGGGCATCCAGTGGCTAGAGACAGGAGATGCTGCAAACACCCTATAATACACAGAATAGCCTTCCAGAACAAGACTGAGTGATGTCGAGATAGAGTGATTATATAATTTGTTTAGCCCACTTTTAATACTGAAAAGAGACACCATCAATAACTTTCAAATTCAAGATTTAAACAGTTTGTCCCAGCTAAGCGAGGTACATAAAGACTCTGCTTATTAAATAAGCTAGTATAGCTCCATCACCAACTTGATGGGAACCTTGGGCAAGATACAACTGTAATTATTCTCTTAGTTTTTTGGTCCCTGTGTCCTCATTTCTATGGTAGTAGTGATTATGGTACATGATTTATATATTTCTTGGGAAATTTTTATCAAAATAATTTCAAAGATTTTAACATGTGTGACAGACATATCATAGTTCTCAATAAATATTGTCAATATTTTTCTTTTATTTCCTCACCATCTTTTTATAGATATAGTTTTCCCTTTGATGCAAATGTAAATTAGAGATAATTAAATAAGTCAGTATGTAGAATACTTTACTTTTCACTCTATTCTTTCCTCACCCTGAAGGAAAAAAGCAAAGTCATTTTCACAACTCTGTACCTATTTCCTTCAATTCTCTAAGTAGTCCAATGACGAGTCTGTTTATAACTATTTCAACTTGATGATCAATGATCTGAAAGCCAGAGGCCAAATGTTGAAGTCAGTCTGCATGTTCAAATGGATAAATCTCTTGTGAGTCTGTGTACAACAGCAGGTGAGAGAGTTATCTGCAACAACTGCTTTTTGCAGATGGGCAAAATAGGCCTTATACACCATCCAAATATCTACAGACCTACCTAGAATTCCATTGATAGTAAAGGACAATTCAAATTACTGCTCTCATCAAGGGCAGGCTTCTGTGTAAGGGTTTCACATACACAGAATACAAGATTCACTCCTTAGAGGATTTGCAGTTGATCTCATTTTCAGGGATGAGTTTCCCAATGAATGTCTAAAGTTTTGGCTATTGGCATTTATACTCCTGGAAAAACTCCAAGTCTCAGAAAACCAAATCCTAAAGTATAAATGTAGCTGATTAAACACTAAGTCAACTCTCATGTTAAATTTATATTTTAGAACCACCAAAATATTAAAAGATGTACTAAAACAAACAAAACTGAAGATATACTTCATCAGGAATGGAAAGTCCCTGGAGTTTCCCCAGGAAATGGCAAGTTGGTCACTCCTTAGCCCCATTTAATCATACTTTCATGTGTTCCCTGTACTTGAAGAAAAAGTTGATCATATTATTTCCCACAAAATTAACTTTATTGTTGACTGGCAGTATACAACTTAACTGAAATATCTCCTATGATATTCTCAATATACCACACACACACACACACACACACACACACACACACCACAGACAGAAGGCAGGCAAATGTTAGTAAATGAGTATAGCATCACTGGGTGTGGTAGTGTACTCCTGTAATTAATTCCAGCACTTGGAAAGCTGAGGGAGGAGGACCCCTGTGAGTTTAAGGCCAGCCTGAGCTACACAGTGAGTTCAAGGCCAGCTTGAACTGCACAGTGAAACCTTGTCTCAAAAAGAATAAAAAGAAAAAGGAACATGGTGCGATCCTCCCTTTCAAGTCATACCCAACAACGTTATAACCTCAGTGAGGTAAAATGTTTGTTGATTTTTATGTTCTCCTGAGGTTGATCCATGGAAAAATACCTTCTGAAACATGGAAATCTTAAAAGTCTTTTGCATTAAAACAAACAAAAAAACAAACACTATGAGTTTGTTTTTGAACTGAAATTCCAAGAGTGTAGAAGTAGATTTACTTCCACAATATCTAGTCTAGTCTGCTTACAAAAATGAAAGAAAAATGAAAGCAGTAGAACAAAGAGGTAAGGTATTCAAAAACATAAAGTATAGCCATTTGTTAGGTTACAAAATTATCAGATGACTTGGGGATTATCAATCCACAAAGAACATGAACATTCAGACAACTACTCAGCCAGCAACTATTCACAGAGCAGAGCTAAAAAAACAGTTGACAACTCATGCATAAACATATAAGAGGACTGACTGAACAGCTTCCATTTTTATCTTTTTGTTATCACCATGCTTAAATTATTTAATTTTATGTTACATTGACTTATTATAAAATTATTTCATGGTGTAATGAATAAACAAAACAATTAAGAGGTGTATTAAGAAAATTAATTCTCTTCGTGAGAGGTTTTTTTTTTTTTTTTTTTTTTTTTTTTTTTTTGTATCAGGGCTTGAACTCAGGACCTTACACTTGCCAGACAGGCACTTATGCCACTGAACCATCTCCCTGGCCCCTACCTTTGTTTCATGCACTTTTGAAAATTGTCCCTCACACAAGTATTCAGTGTTAACATTCAGTTGTATTTTTCTACAGTTTTTCCTCTGTGCACATATTTATGTGTCACATACACATAGGTTTGTTTTCCTTCTTGTTTATCTTTTGTTACTGGTTTTGGAAATAGAGTCTCATTATTTAGCCTAGGTTGGCCTTGAACTTGCAGAAATCCTTCTGACTCAGCCTTGTGAATGTGGCGATTACAGGCTTCTGCCACTGTACCTAGCTAGTTTTTTTCTTTTTATTAAGAATAAAATAATGCCATAACTGCGTCTTTGTCTTTTGCTTACCCTTTAAAACATTGCTCTATACCTTTAGGGTTTTCTAGTTCTTACTTTATATTTATTTATTTATCTTTATGTATTTGGTACAGGGTCTCACTACATAGTGATCCTCCTGATTTCAGTCTCCCCAGTGCTAGGATTCCAGGCCTGTGCCACCAAACCTGGTCTTGGTGGCAGGCTCTGTGCACCCAGGGGTGGGGCCAGCATGGCTTATTGTGCTAGGGATCGAACCCTAGTCCCTGCACTTGCCTAAGCAGGTGTTTAGTCTGCTGAGCTATCTCACTGGCCCTTGTTTACCCTTTGGAAAAACTTTAAATAGCATGAATGTTTCTGCAGGTCAATTCTAGAATATTCTTTAAAGTTCCTGTACAAATTCCACACAATGACTAGATGGGTGACAAGGCATCTAGCTTTTCCTTTATTGATGACATTTGGTTTATACTCAGATTTTTGTTTTGAGAACCAAAAAGTAGTACTTATTTTCAAGGATAAATTTAGTACCTGAGTTTTATAAACACTGGTCTAGATATAAACTCAAAAGGAAGTTTGGAAGGTCACTATACACTTTATGTGACTCGATAATAATCATATCCCTCTGTCTGAACACCGATTCATTTTTAGTACTCAGTGGTGAGTTCAAGTTCTATATATAGACAAAAAACAGACATTCACAAAAAGAGACAAGATTTTTTTGAAAAAATTTCTTCAAAAAAAAAAAGAAAAGAAAAAATTTTCTTCATTTACTTATATACAATAACTTTCTGGGTACTCCAGTTCACACAAAGACTTCTCTATTCAATCACAGATTGAGATGCATGTATCAAGTGAGCGTCAAATAAAATTCAAACACTTGCCTAGACCTGTGATATTTTAATACCATCTGATTAAAGACGAGGTAGAAAGCATTATAATTTACTTTTAGATTGTTACATTTTAGCTGAGAAGTAAACATATGAGCTTAATACCTGTGGAACTGATTTCATTTTAAGAAAAATAAATTGTTTATCAAATAATATCTCTGAAAGTCATAGATCAAAGCAACCATTCATGTCTGTTAAAAAGTTTCCATTGCAAAATCATCTGGCTCATACACTTTAGAAGATCTTTCTCCCTAAATAATTTATGCTATTTAACTCCCATCCTAGTCTTTCAAAAAAGAATTCCATTCCCAAGTATTTAGTTGCATTCCATTCTCTATAGCTAATAGTGCTCATTTTTCTAGGAAAAAAAAGCACGTATTTCTTCTCAGCTGCAGTAGCTTTGCAGATCACCTTCCTCTTTGCTGTAAGCTGGAAACTTCAACCTTTCTTTCACAACTTTCCCTGTGGCACAATGAGATGAAAACTCAAATCAGATGCCTGATAAGGCAATTCTTTATCTTTGACATGTGGTACACATTTTGGTAGTAACTGAGCTAGAATGGCGGTGCTAGATCTCACGTGGGGATGAGTATAGGGTGGGGACATCTTGTACAGAGTGAGCTAAAATCAGGCAAAATTAGAATCATTCAGGCACATTCTTTGCATAAAGTTGCAATTATAGGGCCAAGAGAATATGAGGATAAAATCATTTCCACTGGCAGACATGTACATTTCAGAATAGATTCTTTGGTTGCAAGTTAATTAGAAACTAATTCCATTTAGCTTAAACTAAAAAACAAAAAGATGATTTATTATGATGACATGAATCTGTCTAAATGAAACTAAAAACAAGAATGAGGCTAGGCTTCCAGTAATTCAAAAGCCAGAATTCTTTTAAAAGTTTATCTTCTATAATTATCTCTCTTAATTTGTTTCATTCTTTTCTATCTCTACAGACCAGCTCTCCTCTTTTCTACAGCTTCTAAATGTACATTCTCTTGGTTCTAGAGACCTATGAAAACCTAATTTCTGTTTATAATTCCTAATTATAAATTCTTCATGGAGAGAAAATGTGATTGGATGACCTTGAGTCCGATGGTTACCTATGAACCCCCCCCCAGCCATGGGCTGGGCAGCTGTGGGTAGGAAGGAGAGTTCCAGGAGAGGTCTGATGCTTAATGATGACTTTGACAAATTGCTCAAAGCTATTCCCCAGGTATGCAGCAAACATCAGTGTATTAGGCTTGGGGAAGTTAGGGCCTAAAAAGCTTTTGTGTGTGTGTGTGTGTGTGTGTGTGTGTGTGTGTGTGTGTAACCCTGGGATTGAACTCAGGCCCTTGCAAGCACTTATTCTACTGAGTCATCTCCCTGGCCCCTAAGAAAACCTTATTTGATAATCAGAAAATCAAGTTCTAGCAAAAGAATAATAACTCCTTCCACATCATGCAGCTAGTAAATGAAAAAACAAAGGCTTCTCCTATTACCATGTAGTGTAAGGGCAGAGACTACCAGGAGTTGTGAGAGCCATAACTAGTATAATTTAGAAAGACCACGCTAGAATAAAATATCAATATTGATTTCTCTTTAGTGATTCTAAATGTAAAACAGTGTTTAAATATATACAAAACTATAGAATTTAGAAAGTATCAAGAAAGGATCTACATTAGAAAAGAGTTTGAATAGATTCATCCATTCCTTCTGTGATGCACACATGGTGGTTGGAAGTCTCCAGTAAATAGCAGCCATCTCCTTTGCCTAGGATA